AAGTGGCAGATGATCAAGGATAGATGGTATTGAAGGAAGAAGTCCAAGCTGCACTGAAGGAATTGGCAAAACACAAGGCTCCAGGAGTTAATGGAATATCCATTGAGGTTTCATGGATGGAGGTGCTTACTTGTTTATGCCAAGAAATTTGGAAGACAGCTGCCTGGCCAAGTAGCTGGAAGAGAACCATATTTGTGCCCATTCCAAAGAAAAGTGATAAAAAAAGAATGTGCAGATTATCAAACCACATCATTAATAGCACACCCAAGTAAAATTTTGCTAAAGATAATTCAAAAGTGGTTGTAGCAATATAATGACAGGGAACTTCCAGAAATGCAAGTGGGATTCAAAAGAGGATGTGGAAGGAGAGATATAATTGCTGATGTCAGATGGATCTTGGCTGAAAGCAAAGAATACCAGAAAAATATTTACCTATGTTGTTTTGACTATGCAAAGGTATTTGACTGTGTGGATCATGACAGATTATGGATAACATTGCAAAGAATGGGAATTCCAGAACACTTAATTGTGCTCTCTAGGGACCTGTACATAGACCAAGAGGCAGTCATTTGAATAGAACAAGGAAATACTAAATGGTTTGAAATCAGGAAGGGTGTGTGTTAGGGTTATATCCTTTCACCATACTTACTCAATCTGTATACTAAGCAAATAATCCTGGAAGCTGGATTATGTGAAGAAGAACACGGCATCAAGATTGGAAGAAGACTCATTAACCATCTGCAATATGCAGACGACACAACATTGCTTGCTGAAAGTGAAGATGACTTGAAGCACTTACTGATGAAGATCAAAGAATATAGCCTTCAGTATAGATTATACCTCAACACAGAGAAAACTAAAATTCTCACAACTGGACCAATAAGCAACATCATGATAAATGGAGGAAAAAAATGGAAGTTGTCAGGGATTTCATTTTACTTGGATCCATAGTCAATACCCATGGAAGCAGCAGTCAGGAAAGCAGACTTCGTGTTGAACTGGGTGAATCTGCTGCAAAGTGTTAAGAGGCAAAGGTATCACTTTGAAGACTAAGGGGCGCCTAACCCAAACCATGATATTTTAAGTCTCTTGTGTGCATGTGAAAGCTGGACAATGAGTAAAGAAGACCGAAGAAGAGTTGATGCCTTTGAATTGTGGTGTTGATGAAGAATACTGAAATACCATGGACTGCGGTAGTGTAGTGCCTAAGGCACTTGACTGCTAACCAGAAGGCTGATAGTTCAAACCCACCAGCCACTCCTTGGAAGGAAGGTTGGGCAATCTACTTCTGTAGTGATACCGCCTCGGAAACCCAAGGAGGGGTCTCTATGAGTCGGGTCTGACTCGACGGCACGTAACAACAACAACATCAGCCAGAAGAATGAACAAACCTGTCCTGGAAGAAGTGCAGCCAGAATGTTCTTTAGAAGGAAGAATGGCCCGACTTCATCTCACCTACATTGATCATGTTGTCAGATGGGACCATTCCCTGAGAAGGATATTGTGCTTGAGGAGGGTCAGTGAAAAGGGGAAGACCCTCAATGGGATGGATTGACACAGTGGCTGCAGTGATGGGCTCAGGTACAGCAAGCATTGTGAGGATGGCACAGAACCAGGCAGTGTTTCCTTCTGTTGTACGTGGGGTCACTGTGAGTGGGAGCTGACTCAATGGCACCTCACAACAACAACAACATACTCAAGGTGTTATTTTGCGGTTACGGACTTGCTTTAATTTTCTTCAACTTCAAGTTGAACTTGCATATGAGCAATTGGTGATTTGTTCTACAGTAGGCCCCTGGCCTTGTTCTGATTTCCATGTGTATGGTGGCCCTTGATGTTGTTGAAAAGGTATTTGCAATGAATAAGTCATTGGTCTTGCAAAAAACCTGCCATCCTTTCCGCCTTTCTGTCACCATGTCCATGTTTCCCAGCTCCTTTGTGCCCAATTTTCGCATCCAATCGCCAGTAATTATCAATGCATCTCGATTGCATTTCATCAGTTTCAGACTGCAGAAGTCGGTAAAAACTTCAGTTCTTCATCTTTGGCATTAGTGGTTGGTGCATAAATTTAAATAATAGTTGTATTAACTGGTCTTCCTCGTAGGCACATGGATATTATCCTATCACAGACAGCATTGTACTTCAGGGCAGATCTTGAAATGTTCTTTTTTACTATGAATGTGACATTATTCCTCTTCAATCTGTCATTCCTGGCATAGTCAGGAATGCCAGGTTGCCAGGTTCCAAATGGCCAGCGTTAGTCCATTTCAGCTCACTAATGCCTATGATATTGATCTTTATGAGTTCCATTCCATTTTTGATGAGTTCCAGATTTCCTGGGTTCATAGTTCATACATTCCATGTTCTAGTGATTAATGGATACTTGCAGCTGTTTCTTCTCATTTTGAGTCATGGCCCATCAACAAATGAAGGTCCTGAAAGCTTTACTCTGTCCATGTCATTGAGGTCGACACTACTTTGAGGAAGCAGCTCTTGCCCTGTTGTGTTTTGAGTGCCTTCCAACCTGAGAGGCTCATCTTCCAACACTATGTCAAACATTGTTCCCCTGCTATTCATAAGGTTTTCACTGGCCAATCTTTTCAATAACAGACTTCCACATCCTTCTTCCCAGTCTGTCTTAGTCTGGAAGCTCCGCTGAAACCTGTGCACCATGGGTGACCCAGCTGGTATCTGAATACCAGTGTCATAGCCTTTAGCATCCCAGCAACACACAAGCTACCACAGTACAACACGCTGACAGGCAAATAAATGTTCCACTAATGGGATTATTAGTTAATTTGACGTGTTTCCTTGGGTGATATGAACCCTGCGCTCCATGGGAAAAGGTGGGAAAAGCAGGGAGCTCCTGACCATCCAAAAGGGAAGGAAGAATTCCTGAGGGGCAGGGAAGAGGTAAGGGAACTAGTAATCCGGGATATGTGAGGCTCAGGATGGAGCACTCCTTGTGGAATCTACTGTCGCCACACACAACTGAGTGGAGCACGGGGATAGGGTCGACCAGCTGCAGAGCCAGGTGGCTCCTCTCCACGAGACTAACCAAGATATTTGAGCTGTGCTGATTTTTAACGTGAATTATTTAGCGTAGAGTTGTTGGATCATCTAGAAGTCACACCTCTTCTCCCCATAGGTGACTATCTACCTGGGGAAGAGAGACTACCTAGATCAAGTCACCCAAGTAGAACCTGTGGGTAAGTTGAGTCTGGAGTGAAACTTGAATGGCAGTTTGTTATTGTTGTTGTTGTAGCTCATTAGACCAGTGGCTGTTAGCTTTGTACTTGAAAAAGATTGCCTCACAATAATCTAATCAAGGAAATGCAAATTAGAGCATCCCTGAGAGGCTGCTGGTGGCGTGGAATTATTTTAAAGAGGGTCAAGAGACAAAGGATTGGTATCTAGGGACATAAAGAACTCACAAAACTCAACAGTAAGAGGACAACTATTGCATGAGGCCGCTATCATAAAGGTCAGGAAAAGATTTCCACACAGAAAGATGTGTTCTTACCAGGCATGAGAAGGGAAGGTCAGGTAAATCACTAACTAAACACATACCAAGTTAGGTGAAGGGAAAGGCAATTACAATAAGGGGGAGGCCAGCACAAGGTCAAGGCCAAGGAACATACTGGGAGGGACGCAGGAGTTCAAGGCAAGAAAGGTCAGTACTACGACATGCACAGTCCTAGAGTGACAGGGATAACAGTGTACAGAGAAGGGCAGCGGTATAATCAAACCAACAGTCCAGGGAGCAGATGAGCAAGAGGCATGAAGAGGCAGTTCACCCACGAGGGTTACAGACAGCAGAGAAGCACGTGAAGAGATGTTCAGCATTGTTAGACATCAGGAGGGTACAGTCAAGACCCAACGAGGTAGCAAGAGCCGTGTGGCAGGATGGCTGCAATGAAGATGCTTCCAACTTTTCCACATTGTAATTAACATCCATGTGGACAGATCCTTGTAGACAGATCTTTACATCTCTCCGTTGTTTCTTTTAATTTTATTCCAGTAAAATATGTATAACATAAAATTGGCCGTTTCACTTCACATAACATGGGACCATTTCACGTTTTTATGTGCACCATTCGGTGACATTGATTACACTCAAAATGTGTGCAACCGTCACCATGTCTATTTCCAAAACCTTTGCGTCACCCCAAAAACAAACTCATATCCATTAAGCAATAAAGATCCATGAGTTTTAAAAAGCAAATTAGTGAGTTGGATTTGGCTTGGATAACATGCTGCCAAGTGACTTTCCAGAAGGGGCTTGGCTAAGGGCCACCCTCATCCTCAGCGCCTGCAAGAGCCTGGTTCTCCACACTTTTTCTTATTTAACTTGTTACGTTAGATAATTATAGGCTCGCTGGAAGTGGCAAGCAGAGTACAGAGAAGGGCCTTGCAGGCTTCGCCCGGTTTCTTCCGATGGTTACATTTTACATAATTACAGTACAGTACCAAAGGAGGAAGGGACAGTAGTACACTGCGTGTAGTTCTTTGTCGTGGTGTGGCATTGTGTAGACACAGGATTAGTCCACCGCCACCACCAGGCTGTCCGTCGGGCACCCTCTGTGGTCACACCCGCCTCCCTCCTCCCCACTGTCCCTAGCCCCTGGTGACCAGTGACCTGCTTTCCACCTCCCTCATGTCATCTTGAGGATGCTCTGTAAATAGATCCTGCAGGGAGTGACCTCCACGTTGGCTTTTAAAATAGCGACACCACCTAATGCTGGTGAAGACACAGAGAAACTCGGTCCATCATGCGTTGTGTCTGGGGATGGAAAACGGTGCAGCCATTCGAGAAAAGAGCCCGGCAGTTTCTTCAAACACTGAACGTGCACTTGGGGTGTTTACCCCAGGGAAATGGAAACACGACCACAGTAAACTTGACACACGTGTTTACAGCAGCTTGCTTTGTAACAGCCTCAAGCAGAAAACAACCGGAATATCCCTCGAAGGGCAGAGGCTAAGCCAGCAGTGTGAGCCCTGCCGTGACGTTGGTGGTGGCAGCCAGGTAGGCGCCTGACTCCCGGCGACCCCGGGACAAAATGCTAGTCCCGCCCCATCCCCTGAGTGACTACAGATAGGACCATGGCAGGATTATTGTTGCCTGAGTTTCCATCTTAGTTTGGAAGTTTTTCCGAAGCCTGTTCATCATCTTCAAAAAACGAAAACTCAACTGCCATCGAGTTGATTCCGACCCACAGTGACGCCTGTTGGGTTTTCAAGGCTGGAAGTCTTTACGGAAGCCAACTGCCCCATCTTTCTTCTGTGGAGCAGCTGGTTGGTTCAAACTATAGACCTTTAGGTTAGCAGCCAAATACCTTAACCACCAGCGTCATGGCAACCACCACTGACAGATGGCTGGTGGTTGCACGTGAAGTGTACTGGGCGGGAATCAAACCCAGATTTCCTGCACCAAGCAGAAAACCCAAACCCACCACCACTGAGCTGATCCCAACTCATAGCATCCCTACAGCACAGGGTAGAACTGCCCCTTGGGGCTCGCAAGGCTGTCAGTCTTCCTGGATCCCGTGGAGCAGCTGGTGGGTTGGAAATGCCAGGCTTCTGGTTAGCAGCCAAATGCCTTGACCACTGCGCCATCAGATCTTCTGCACAGAAGGCACAACTTTTGCCAGTGACCCACCATGAAGTACTACTCAGCAAGCAAAAGGAGTGAGCTGCTGCTACACCAACACTTCAGGGTCTCGGGCACGAAGGTGAGCAGTAACCGCCAACGTGGAGGTCACTCCCTGCAGGATCTATTTACAGAGCATCCTCAAGATGACATGAGGGAGGTGGAAAGCAGGTCACTGGTCACCAGGGGCTAGGGACAGTGGGGAGGAGGGAGGCGGGTGTGACCACAGAGGGTGCCCGACGGACAGCCTGGTGGTGGCGGTGGACTAATCCTGTGTCTACACAATGCCACACCACGACAAAGAACTACACGCAGTGTACTACTGTCCCTTCCTCCTTTGGTACTGTACTGTAATTATGTAAAATGTAACCATCGGAAGAAACCGGGCGAAGCCTGCAAGGCCCTTCTCTGTACTCTGCTTGCCACTTCCAGCGAGCCTATAATTATCTAACGTAACAAGTTAAATAAGAAAAAGTGTGGAGAACCAGGCTCTCGCAGGCGCTGAGGATGAGGGTGGCCCTTAGCCAAGCCCCTTCTGGAAAGTCACTTGGCAGCATGTTATCCAAGCCAAATCCAACTCACTAATTTGCTTTTTAAGTCCCATGGATCTTTATTGCTTAATGGGTATGAGTTTGTTTTTGGGGTGACGCAAAGGTTTTGGAAATAGACATGGTGACGGTTGCACACATTGTGAGTGTAATCAATGTCACCGAATGGTGTGCATAAAAACGTGAAATGGCCCCACGTTATGTGAAGTGAAACGGCCAATTTTACGTTATACATATTTTACTGCAATAAAATTAAAAGAAACAACAGAGAGATGTAAAGATCTCTTTACAAGGATGTTCACCGAATGTTAATTTGAAATTAATTTGCAATTTGGAAAAATTGGAAACATCTGAAGTTCCTTAACAATGGGTTGTTGTTGTTGTTATGTGCCGTCGAGTCGGACCTGACTCATAGCAACCCCTCCTTGGGTTTCCGAGGCAGTAACATTATGGAAGTAGATTGCCCCATCTTCCTTCCAAGGAGTGGCTGGTGGGTTTGAACTGCCAGCCTTCTGGTTAGGAGTCAAGTCCCTTAGGCACTAGGCTACCAGAGCTCCTTAACAATGAGAGATTAAATAATCCATGCAATGGAGTGATCGGCAGCCATTAAAAAAATAAAACCCTGTGCTGGGGCGCCCCTAGAGGACAGAGCCAAACTTTCCCATAGGGTTTCCAAGGCTGTCAATCTTTACGAAAGCAGACTGCCTCATCTTTCTCCCACAGGGTGGCTGGTGGGTTCAAACAACCAAGCTTTTGGTTAGCAATTGAATGCTTTAACCATTGCACCACCAGAGCTCCTTCTTAAACTGATTAGTATATATTATTATATACACACATACATATTTATATGTGTGTGCATACATATGTGCATATGTGTATATATATTTATATACATTTATTTGCAATATATGCCAGTCACCCTCTGGTCAGCCCTGATTCATGGCAGTGCCACGTGTGTCAGAATAGACCTAGGCTCCGTAGGATTTCCAGTGGCTGATGTTTTGGAAGTAAGTCACCAGTCCTTTCTTCCAGGACACCTCTGGGTAGACGAGAACCCCCAGCCTTTTGGTTGGCAGCCACACGCATGGCACGCCTGCACTACCCAGAGACTCCTGGCGATATACAGTTGAGCGTTCACAATCCTGAGCAGCGTGGGTAGCGGGATCTCGTTTTTGGGATATAACACATTCATATCATTAAGTGTGTATACATCTGGGGGGAAATTCTGCACCGATGTCTTGACAATGACTGTCTGTGGGGAGTGGAAATTAGGGTGACTTTGTTTTCTCTTCGCTTAACTTGACTTTCTAATTTTTCCATAATGAACATGGATTGTGTGTGTGACTAAAATATTTACAGTGTCTTCGGGAGGCAGCTGGTCGCTCTGATCTGCTGCCCTCATCGTTCTCCCTCTTCTGGTTTAGATGGAGTCGTGTTGGTCGATCCCGAGCTCCTCCAGGGAAAGAAAGGTGAGGTGTGGCTTCTTGTCCGATGTGGTACCTCTGGTGACAGCGGGCCCTGGGACGAGGCTTTAGAAGGAGAAGCTCCTGGTGCAGAGAGAAGGGAGGGCAGCTGACGTCTTCTTGCACGTCCACCTGCATCCCCAGAGAAGGCTCACCGCCCGGTCCTGTTCACTCAGAGCTCACTGTCCATTTTTCACACCAGGAAGCGAAGACTCAGAGAAGTACCTGATGAGTCACCAGTGAGAGCCAGTGTCCTTGGCTCTGTGTTACACAGTCCCCCACTGGGGCAAAATCCAAAAGGAGGTCTCCTGAGCCTGCTGGGAGTCAGGGGAAGTGAAAAGGAGAGTGTGCTTTGATGTTTACTGCAGTGGTTCTGCACCCCTGCGTCACAACATGCTGGATATTGCTGGTGGTTTTGATGTGTGTGGCAAGCCATTTATTACCAATGAAAGTTACATAAAGGAAATAAATCATCACTGACTCAAGTCATTCTGATGAGAACGTCACTATGACTCAGTCCCATTCAAAAGATGCTTTTTTGAGTGGTTGCTACCAGCAACCACAAGGAATTGTTCATAGCCCTAGAAATGCCCAAGGGTAAATGTCACGTGTGGGACATCAGCTCTGAGGAGTTCAGGGCAGAAGTGGGGTGGAAGACACCCCCTCTATGGTTCCCCACTCAGAAATTGCTGCTCTCTCACACTGGGGAGCAGGTTGTTTGAGCCCTGGCATCCCTGCCCCTGGCTAGGAAGGCACTTCCTCTTAGGAGCCACTCCTAGTGAGGACAGCCAGAAAGCCAGGTCTTCCAGCACCTTCCTCTTTCTTACATGGGCCAAGGTGTGGCAGGTGACAGTGGATTCTTCTGAGCTCTGGGGTGTGGGGAAGATACAGACATGAAATCCTCAACCAACAGCCACCATGTACTTGGAGGGGCCATTTCCGATACGCTTCATGTCCACAGATAATGTGCTTCATGTCATTAGATTTACATCGTTGAGGATAAACCAAAGCAAACCAGTTGCCCTCAAGTCGACTGTGACTCTTGATACCCTGTGTGTGTCAGAGTAGGGTTTTCACGGCTGGTGTTTCAGAAGTAGGTTGCTAGGGCTTTCTTCTGAGGCACCTCTGAGGGGACTCGAACCCCCGACCTGTGAGTTAGCAGCGAACACATTAACAATTTACAGCACCAGGGACTCCCAAGCCCAACCTAGCTCCACTCTTAAGCCTGTGTCCAGCTCTGGTCTAGTTTATTTTGCTCCCAAGGAGTATGTCCCTCCACTTCTTACCTTCCCCCTCAACTCCATCTAGAAAGCCTGCCCTCTAGAACCCAGCACTCTTCCAGAGCCTCCTCCAAATTCTTCAGCTGGTGGACCAAGAGAAGGTAGGGTAGAGTGGAGGAAACAATGCAGCAAGGAGTGGGGATCATGTTCTCTGTCCACAGATGTCCATCAGCCTGGCCAAATAATGTGGTTAGAAGGAAAATGTTTCCCACCCCACTGATGCACCCCTTCAGAGGAATTAACACAAACCCTAAGAGAGGTGCTGACTTTGGAAAATGTGTAACCCAGCTTGGTAGTATGGTCCTCTCGAAGCCCATCTTTTCCAGAAGCTAAAGATTGGAAGCCCCTGACTCAGGGTGTGAGCAGATAGACCGTCTGCACACTCAGTCTAGCCCCAACTTGCACCATGACAACAGATGAGGAGGGAAGCCTGACGTTTCAAAGCTCAACCTTCTCTTGTCTTCTTCCCAGTTTTCGTCTCTCTGACCTGTGCCTTCCGCTATGGCCAGGAAGACATCGACGTGATTGGCCTAACCTTCCGCAGGGACCTGTATTTCTCTCGGGTCCAGGTGTACCCTCCTGTGGGGGCTGCAAGTGCTCCCACGAAACTGCAGGAGAGTCTGCTCAAGAAGCTGGGGGCCAACACCTACCCCTTTCTGCTCACGGTGGGTCTGCACTCCTCTGTCTGCCCCTCCACCTCTCCAGCCCCTCTTCCCTGGCCCACAGCCCCTTATAATGTGAACCAGAGCAGAAGAAAGGGGATGGGGTAATCACTTCACATTTGTGGGCCTTTAAATTGCACCCTTGAAGGAAATTCTAGATTGCATGGTCTGTGATTGTCTTTTTTTAAGTCCTTGAAAATAGCCTCTCAGCCTTTGAAGGCGCCATTTCAACCCACTGTTTAAATATTTTCCTTCATCCGACCACCTAATTATACGCGCATGTGTTATTCCTTTGCTTACTCAACTATAAAAAGAATGCAGGCAAACATCCTCTCAGTTGGCTCTGAGGAGCTCTGGACAGGAAAGGGTGCCCTGAAGTACCCTTAGTGCCACACTCAGAGGACCAGGGTTGGTCAATCACTTCGTTTTGCCTGGTGGAACCTGGCTGCCAAGCATGCCAGAACGCATGCACTCAGAAGTCTTGCACGTGAACTCCATGTAGGGAAAGCTACTGCTACTCTCTGTATTAGTATTTTTTTTGTCTTAAAATTATACACTCCTCCAAACTTTATGGAGTTCCTGGGTGGTGCAGATGTTAAATACTGAACTACTAGCAGAAAGTTGGGCACTTTGAACCCACCCAAAGGCATCTCAGAAGACAGGCCTGGAAATCTACTTCCAAAAGGTCACAGCATTAGAAACCCTATGGAGCAGTTCTGTTATCTGGACGAAGAAGCCCTCTTCCTGGTCCTCACCCTATTGGTAGGAAGAATCTCTGCGAGCAAGCGATCTGTAGGCAGGCAGTCCCAGGAGATCCATGAGCAAACGGTGGTGGTCAGCAGCGGCTTGGCAAACTCAACCAAGTGCCGGTCGCTCAAGCACACAAGCCTTTATTGAAAGCAAACTATGTTTCCATAGGGGAAATGGACCTCTCTCCATGAGTGGGGAGGGCCATTAAAAGCAAGGGGTATCTCCAGAAAAATGGAGAAGGGTCTTTCCCATGGAATGGGAAAGATGCCAAACTGCCTCACTTACTAGTTTTTATACTTCCTGAAAGGGGCATTCTTAAGGTGGGGCTGGGCCTCTTGAGTCAGGGTCCTGTGACCCTGATTAATTAGCCAAATCTCACAGGTGGTTACGGGCAGTTGCAGGTGTTAGTTTATTAACCTCCTTAAATATTCCACGTCTGTGGTTCTGCTTAATTTTAATTGGCCAAATCTCACAGGCAGTTGAGAGTGGTTACAGGTGTTTGCTCATTAATATTCTGCCTCTCTCCCTTTTCTCCTCCCTTCAGGCCTGCCCCAGGGGCGGCCCTCCAGTCCTACCTTCCTGCCTAACAGTTCTCCTCTGCACACATGGGGTCTCCATGAATCAGAACTAACAACAACAATAACAAAAGTTATGTTCCTGAAAATTAATGTTGCGAAAAGAACCAGAAGAGGGAGCTTTGCGGTGGTTACTAGGGACATGAAAGAGATGCTACTTCTTTGTGTCTGCACAGGACCAGGCAGTGCTTTGCTCTGTGATCCAGAAGGTCCCCATGAGTGGGAGCCAACTCAACAGTGACTGGCAGCTGCCTGTAGAGTTAAACAAAAGGATAAGTTGTTCTACTGGAAGGGAGAAGAAAAGTCATCTTGAAAGCAAAAAGAAAAAAGTTACCCAGTCCTGGAACCCCATGCACTAGTGTTAGGGATGTAACCTGGTGTAGCCTTTTGGATACAACATGTCAGTATTAACCGAAAACCTTGCTTTTGACCTGACATTGCCATTTCTAGGAATTTATCCTATGGGATAAGTTGGACCAATGGGTGCAAAGGTGTATGAAGAAAGAAAGTCATTGCAGCATTGTCTAAAATGGCTAAAAAGTAAAAACCATCTAATTGATGCAGTTGAATTTTGGTGTTGGCGAAGAATATTGGATGTACAGTGGACTTCCAGAAGAATGAATCTGTCTTGGCAGAAATGCGGCCAGAATGCTCTCAGAAGCAAGGATGGCAAGGCTGTGTCTCGTACTTTGGACATGTGATCAGGAGGAACCAGTCCCTGGAGAAGCCATCATACTTGTTAAAGTAGAGGATCACTGGAAAAGAGGAAGACCCTCAATGAGACAGACTGACACAGTGTCTCCAACACGGGCCTCAGACACAGCAACAATCGTGAGGGTGGCACAGGACCGAGGGTTGTTTCCTTCTGTTGTACATGGCGTCATTGTGAGTCAGAACCAACTTGACGGGACCTAACAGCAACAGGCAGCAAAGAGGACGGGCTAAGTGGAAGGTGATGTGATGTTCTAGAAGCCCTAAAGGCGATGGTGGAGATGTGGAAAAATGTTCAGACCCACTCTGAAGAGGATCACCAAAAACAAAACCAAACCCACTGCTTGTTGAGTTGGTCCCAACTCACAGTGACCCTAGAGGACAGAGTGGAACTGCCCACAGGGTCTCCAAGGCTGTCAATCTTTACAGAAGCAAAGCCCAAACCAAACCCACTGCCACTGAGTCGATTCTGACCCATATAGCCCCTGTAGGACAAAGTGGAACTAACCCACTGCCGTTGAATTGATTCTGACTCACAGCGCCCCTAGAGGGCAGAGTCGAACTGCCCCATAGAGTCTCTAAAGGCTGTCAATCTTTACAGTAGCAAGACCCAAACTACACTCACTGCCATTGAGGTGATTCTGACTCACAGCGCCCCTAGAGGACAGCGTGGAACTGCCCCATGGGGTTTCCAAGTCATCTTTACAGAAGCAAAGGCCAAGCCAAACCCACTGCCATCTAGTCAGTCCTGAGTCATACAACCCTATAAGACAGAGTAGAACAGCCTCATAGGGTTTCCAAGGCTGTCATCTCTGTGTAAGCAGACTGCCTCATCTTTCTCCCATGGAGCGGCTGGGGGTTTGAAACGTTGACCTTTCAGTTAGCAGCTGAGCACTTTAACCACTGCACCACCCTGGCTTCTCTGAAGAGGGTTAAGATGGTGGGGTGATTAAACCAGCACAAGTTTTGGAAGGTGATGTTAACATGACTGTGGGCGTTGTGGGACGTTTTTCTTTTGCTAGTTCATCGACATTTTTCAATTGCAATGGCTGCATGGGACACGTGGAGTAACCCCTCTGAATGACATGATTTTTTTCCTTTCTTCCCACAGTTTCCTGACCATCTGCCCTGCTCAGTCATGCTGCAGCCAGCCCCACAAGATGTGGGAAAGGTTAGTTAGAGACTCCTTCCTTCCTTCAACTTTGTAAAAAGTGTTTCTTATCAAAGAGAATTTCAAACGTTCATGGAAGAGAAGCCATCGTGAATCCACCACTTGTCTTTCTACGTCTTGACCAGGACTCACCTGGTGAAGTAGACTCCCACCGTCAGGGACTCACATGCTAACACAGAGCAACAGATAAACAAGGGAAACATCGCACAGCAGATGCTCGCGGGCGCTCTAAGGAACAAAGGCACGGGAGGGGCAAGGGATCCCTGGTGGGTTTCTTCAGGAAGGTCTCTCTCATGCCAGGATACAGTAGAGACCCACAGAAAGAGGGTGAAGGCTGTGGTCTTCTTGGGGAGCGCCTCGGGGCAGAGGGAACACCAGTGCTATGCTTGGCATGTTCGGGGTGGCAAGGAAGCGGGTAGCTTGACTGGGAGGAACAAGGGCTGACTGGCAGAAGCTGAGGCCACAGTGGTGTGGGGAGGCGCCGCCAGGAGCACCTTGGAGGCCACTGTATGGACTTGGTTTCTCTTCTGAGCTGGAAGCCATTGGTTTTTAAAGGATCATGATTTCATTTGTCAAATGGGGACAAAGGGGACAAGTGTTTCAGGTAGAAGGAATAGCACATGCCCAGAGTAGAATACAGGGCATGGCACTTTCAGGGAGCAGGGTTGCCCGGAACGTACCGGAACATATTGGAATATCCTGGAACAAACAGTGTTGGGGGAGGGTGGAAGCAAGGTGAGTGAGCAGAGCAGAGGTGCAGTGTGCTAAATGGTGCCAGCGTGATGGTGGGTGGTGATGTGTGTTTAATTTCTGTCTAGATTTTGTAACTGCTGCTAGTCCATGGCATTCCACACAAAACTACGTCTTCTCTGATCCTGTTTACACGGACGCTTTTATGGACTTTTGCCGATGACGCTTCTAGTCAGTCAATGATGGGCAGGGCCGTGCCTCCTGTTGTCCCTCTGTGTGTCACCAAGGAGGTGGTGGGGGCTTGGTGCTCAGGGCTGAGGAGTGTGCACCCTGGGCTGAGGGCGGGAGACGGCCCACAGGTGCCTTTGTTGGACACATGCTTAAATTGTCGTTTGGCTCATTTAAAAAAATCAAGATATTTCACTCCAAGTTCCATTTTTAGTTTTTTAACCTGGGGGAGCCCCAGCACTAGGTCCCCCCTTACTGCCCCGTGCAGCAGCTGTGCACAGGGGTCAGGGCGCTGGCACCCCAGCAGGGGTCCTCATGGAGGCTTGTCCATCTCCCCTCCTCCTGCCACCCTGTGAGGGTCTGTCGCCCCTGCTGTGGGCAGTGGGAGGTCAGTAAATTGCCCATGAAGGGTGTCATTGGAGGACAACTACGTGTGGTGTGGAGGGGACTGGACGCTGGGGAAGATGGTGGGAGGAGAGGGCCAGTGGCAGGTCACACTGTGTGGCTCCTGTGGGGTTCGTGTCACCAGGCTGAGGCCCTTTGCTGGGAGCTTTGACCCTAGGCCCTCTCCTCATGCTGACATCACCATTTCATTGTCAGTCCACTGCAGAATCTCTTTCAGTGATGGAACTCTGAAAAGGATAGTGTTAAAGAGAGATGGTTAAGCCTAACAGCCCCACCCCAAGGTTTGAACCTCCGTCCTGCTCCCTCGAGCCTTTGCTGGCAGGGAACCACTGACTGCAGCCCCATCTTTTCTCTTGTCCCTGCAGTGCTGTGGGGTCGACTTTGAGGTCAAAGCATTCGCCGCAGACAGTGCAGACAGTGAAGAGGACAAAATTTCCAAAAAGTAAGTGTAGTGGGTAGCATAGTGGCTAAAGCACTTGACTGCTAACCAGAAGGCTGGCGGTTCAAACCCACCAGCCACTCCTCGGAAGGAAGGTTGGGGAATCCTACTTCTGTAGTGATACCACCTCGGAAACCCAAGGAGGGGTTGCTATGAGTCGGGGCCGACTCGACGGCACATAACAACAACAACAACAACAACAGTGGCAGGTGGGGGGGAGGGGTGCTGGGGACAAGCAGGTGAGGGTGGGACGCTGCCCCTCACTTGACCTCAGTGTGACAGGACTCTTCTTACAGGGCCAGCATGGCCGGGGTGACAGAACCTTCCCAGGTCAGGCAGTTAAAGATGGAACCTTCTACAGATAAGATGTGGTCAAGTGGCTGATCATTTGGAGGGAAAAAAAGAAAATGTGGAGGGAGTTAGTACCTCAAGGACTCCCGTCAGCCCCTGCCAACTCCCAGACTCCTTTTTTCAGTTTCCTTCTTGCAGCCGACGAGACTTCTAGCCATGCCTCAGCTTCTCCTCACACACCTCCTTAGGCACATACGTCCAGGGTTACAGCACCGAAGAGTGATAAGTATGTCACGCTTACATAGGGCTTAGATTCATGTTCAGGGAACCCTGGTGGCACAGTGATTAAGTTCTCAGCTGCTAACCTAAAGACAGTAGTTCTAACCTGCAAGCTGCTCCGAGGGAGAAAAGACCTGGTGATCAGCTCCCGTGAAGACTGACAGCCTTGGAAACCCACTGGGGCAGTTCTACTCTGTCCTCTAGGGGCGCTGTGAGTAGAATCAATTTGATGGCAGTGGGTGTGGTTTGGGCTTTGCTTTTGTGAAGATTGACAGCCTTGGAGACCCTGTGGGGCAGTTCCACTCTGTCCTGTAGGGGCGCTGTGGGTCAGAATGGACTCCACGGCAATGGGTGTGG